TAAGCTCCACTTTTAATATTTGATAAAATTAAAGAATTAGTTGACTAATTGTAATATTTATTTAAATCTGTAGTCATGATCAAACCTAAATGATCAGGATACGAATTTATATTATCTCCATAAAGACTAGCCTAGTTATTCAATATAATGCTTTGAGAGTCTATAACTGGATTTATACCTAGATTATTAATGCATCCTCCAATAACTGCATTGTTATCTGTTAGATTTGTTTTATAAATTTTGATCTATTACTGTACTGTTGATTCATTTTCTGAGCTAATAAATAATGCCCCACCACTTCCATTTAAAGATTGATTGTCAGTAATTTAGCAATTAGACAAAGTTAAAGTAAAAATCTATTAATTGTATGATTAAAGATTTTAAAATATTAAAAAAAAGAAGTATTTATTACATCATCATTTTAGGCTATTAAAAGCATAGCTCCTCCATCTGATATGGCAGTATTTCCAATCATTTTAGTGTTTTATATATAATTAAGATTAGAAACGAAACCATTAACTGATATAGCACCACCGTTATTGGCCTATTTTTAAATAAATATTTAAATTACATAAAAGCTTGTATGATATTAAATTATTTTAATCACTTTTGATTCTAAAAACTGAGAGTCAGATATAAAAAATTGTGTTTAGTTCAACTAAAGTATAGAACCAAAGCATAGCATGCAAATTATTTTCTAAAATAATGTTTATTATTAAATTTATAATTTAGATTAATATAATGATATAAGTGCTCCTGAATTTAGCAGAGAAATCTAGGATTGTAATACTCGTTTTGAGGATATCTAATTTATATTTATAAATTAAGAATCTTCAATTGTTAGAGCTCCTTAATTGACACTAATTAAGTATGTGGAAAACGTAGAGTCTTTAATTATTAATCTTTAAATTACAATACTCGTATTAATACCATTAATTAGAAGAGGGGAAGTATTTTGTAAATTTTTTATTATTAAATTTTAAAATCCGCAATCAACAATTGAGAGCATAGATTTTTAAAGTTAGAAAAATGACACTGATTAGATTTCAGATAGCTTTGCTATTAGATTCAAATAATCAGGATAAGTTTAGTTAAAATTATTATTATCAATATTAAAAAGAGTAACATTAGAATT